CGCACCGCAGGCGCCTGGCACGGGGCGGGCCGCGGTGTCGGCAGAGCCGCTGCCCAGGACCGCGCGGGCCTCGGCGCGGAGTAGAATGAAGAGGAACAGCAGCAGCCAGCGCGGGAGGATGGGGACTCCCCTGTTTCCTGCGCTGTGACAGACAGGGGGACGCCCGGGACGAAGGGACCCCTGACTTCCTTTGCTTGGGAAAATCGTCCGAGGAACTCAGATTTGGCTGCTCTGAGCAGTGGAGGGGATGCCCGTGACGTGGCAGGGGGCAAACAGACAACCGAAACCTCCCGCGTGAACTGCCAACTGTGACCCAGGGAAGGGAGGACCGCTGTCTGCATTTTAATTTCATGCAAAAGGGTCCGGGAGTCTGTAAACTTGTTCCTATGCCTTGTACTTCAGCAGAAACCGGAGAGGTCCTGTGTGGGAACACCATCATCCCGGAGGGCCACAGCCAGCGGCCTGCCTCCTTGTTCCCACATCCCCCGGGACTGGATCCCTGTTTGGGGGACTCCACCGACCCTGAACTGTGCTCACATCTCTGAATGCTCTTCCAGTTCCGGCGACCTAACTCCTAGAACCTACCCGCGGGGCTGTGATCTAGCTCAATGCTTCCGAAGAAAAGGCATTTTAAACCGTTTTTAGGAGACCTTGGTTTTCCTTAAGATTGCCATAAAACACGATCTGATAGGCTTACAAACATGACAGGTAAGAACTTTCTGTCTTCCTAGTCCGGTCTCAGAGAAGGCCGAGGCTGAGCAGGACCCAGGAGGAGGACGAGCCCAGGGACCCCAGTGCCCTTAGGGGCTCCCAGGCCCTCCGCCCGGCTGCTGCTTTCTGGAGAGGAGCAGCCCTGGCTTCTGGACTAGCTGCTGGGGAAGCTTCGGGGTGGGGGGGAGGGCGCGCCAGGGGACTGCGCTGCGCCCCACCTGCCCTGCCCTGGACGCAGCCCGGGGGCGAGGTATCGAGGGACCTCCTCGAGTCAATATTGTGATTTTTAATAAACCAAGGAATGGGATTTTAATTATTCAAAAACACAGCTCCTCCAGCCAGATGCTGTTGGGATAGTGCCGGTCACACAGTATTAAAGCGACAGACCACTAAGAAACCGAGAAAAGCGTCCGAGACATCCTTTGCAATTACGAACGAACCAGACTTGGTAGCACTGGGCACCGACTGCTGGTGCCATCCGGACCCTCCTCCCCTCTCCCTGGGCCGCCCCCCCACCCCACCGGAGGCAGGCTCCCGCGGCGCGGCCAGGACCTGGCGTCCTTGTCTCGTGGCCTGGGCTGCGTTTTTACATGAGCCCGGGGTGAACAGGTGCGAAGTGCGCTGAGAGCATCCGGCCCACGGCCGCGCGCGGAGCATGGAGAGCGAGCGCGACATGTACCGCCAGTTCCAGGACTGGTGCCTTAGGACTTACGGGGACTCGGGCAAGACCAAGACAGTGACCCGCAAAAAATACGAGCGGATCGTTCAGCTCCTCAATGGCTCCGAGTCCAGCTCCACGGACAACGCCAAATTTAAATTCTGGGTCAAATCCAAGGGTTTCCAGCTGGGCCAGCCGGATGAGGTCCGCGGGGGAGGCGGCGGCGCCAAGCAAGTGCTCTACGTGCGGGTCAAGACCACGGTGAGTCGCCTTCAGTGTTCTCCTGAGCAGCCTGGAAGGGAGGGCGGAGAGAGTGGGGGACCCGGGGATCCGTGAGCTGCTGTTGGCTCCTGGGCCCCCACCCTCCTCAACCCCCTCCCCAAGTCGTCCCCACTCGCGATGGCCAGGCGCGATTTCCCCACTAAGAAGTCTTTGTGGTCCTTTATTTTAAAGCCTCGGAGAACCTGCAGAGCCTGCCGCCCTCCGCGCCTCCGGGCTCCCTACGCGCGGCGGGAGCTCATCTTCCTGGGTCGGGCGGCGCCTGGTGTTCTCAGGCCAGGCTATTGTCCCGTGTCCTTCGCTGAGCGCCAGGCGCGTGTCCTACCTCCGCCACCGCGCATAAAGGCCGGGCTGGAAGCCCAGCCGCACGCTCTGATCACAAATGATGCTGATGGATAGTCTACTGTGTCTCTTCATTGGCACAGAGCCCGAGTGTGGCGGTAGCGGTGGATGTGGGGTTTTCCCCAGGACATCATCAGGTTTTATTGTGAGACCGCCTGCGGGGAGACACGGGGCAGTCCGCAAGCCTAGATCACTCCCCGAGATCGTTGCCAGGACTGTTTCGTTTGCAGATAAGAACCTGGTGATGCCTCCTCCCCACCCCCCATCCCCTTCCTCACTCGCCCTGGCATTAAGAAAGCCGCCGCAGCTAGGCGATGCGCAACAAAGAGAGATGGGTTTGGGCGCGAGCCAATGGTGTGTGTATTTGTTCCTCTTTCTGGGTGGTCCTAGTCTCCTTTTCACTAAGGTGTAGCCCAGGCGCTGCGAGCGAGGAACTAACTGCATGTGAGAGCCCGGTATTAATCATTCTCAAAAGGAAATGTTTGTGGGGCTGGGGAGCAAGCAGCCTTGGCGTCCCTGTCCTTTGCAAGAAGATGGGAACAGGGGCTGAGAGTAAGATTCTAAGGTCAGGTGCATGAGACCTAGTAGCCTCCTGCATGGTGGGTATGCGCCTGGAGTAGGGGTGGAGTAGCTATCTGGCACCCTTTTTATCTTGCTTTGGGATTTATTGAGCTTTGCTCCTTCCCCTCCCTCTCTTTCTGGAGATGATTTCCTGGTGCAAGGTTCCCTGAGGATGCTAGAGAGAAGGTGTCAGGAAGGCTATGCCAGCTCTGTAAGGTGCTTTGCATTGAAGATGTGTGCATGAAAGGCTTTTTAAAGCATCGTCTGGAGGACTGCCTCAGGTTCGGAACGGTTCTGGTTGCCCAAGGTTAGTTTGGAATGGTTCTTTTGGAATTTGTATGCAAAATGGGAAGTGAAAATAAAGGTGAGCTGGAAGCATACAAAAAGTTTTTTGTTGTTTTGTTTTGTTTTCTTGATGTGCTGCTGCTGGAGGGTTTGCAGGTTGTGGACACTGATGTTGCTTTATCTTGGACCACAGAGTACGCTGAAAAGAGTGGTGAGGTGGTCTGCCCTGTTTAAGGAGGAAGACTAGTTTGACACGGATTAGCCTATAAGGTTTGTTTACATCTGCATGAGTTAGAAGTCTGTTACAGAGAAAGATTGCTTTGCTTCATTTGTATGGAGATGAACCTTAAGAACTAGATGGAAAGATGATTTATTGATAGACAAAATGGAGTGGAATTCAGGTTAAGTGGATGAAATGTTGTTATATGTATTTAAAGCACTACCTAACATGATTTTATATACATATATATCCATATATGTATATAAAATGAAGCATTGCTAGCCAGGAAGTTTTTCATTCTTTTTGTATTAAATTTAGGTCCTTCTCTTTGGATCTAGTGAGTTAGGATTTGGTTACAACAATTATATGTGTTAGCATATGTGTCCTTAAGAAGATTAAAGTTCTAAATAATATAAATTTTGAAATGATTGTAGAGGCATTAAGATGACTGCGGGTGTGAGTCATTCAACCCAGCATTCACTTGCTATGACAACCATTTTTTCATGTCAAAAATTAATGCAAAGTTGTTAAAGAATTACTGCTAAGACATCCACTATAGAGTGACAACATAGCCTGTATTTCTCTTTTCAGTAAAGATTCCATATAGTTATGGGAGACAATGTGATCTGTCAGATGATAGTGTTAGACAATGATTTCCATGTAGTATTTAAGGCGCTCCGTTTCATTCATGTCTAGCTTGAAATGTTGAATAGGTTTTTAATTCATGCTCTTCTGCTGTTCTTTATGAAATTTTTCTGCTGCTCCTGACATAAAATTACAGGCTCCACCTTCTCTGAGAGGCAGCCAATCACAGTTGCAATCAGTTCCAAATAAAAGATCTCTTCTCTCCTCTCTTTCCACATCTAAACTTATTTTTCCCCCTAAAAATATTTTGATTATTTTTCATTATAGTAGGAATACAGCTATCAGGAAAACAGATATATGTTTTCTTCTCATTCAAAGGCATATATTGGTTGGAATAAGGTAGTATCTTTGAATGGTGATTTCAAATAGATGAGGAGTCATTCTGAGCTCCTTGGGGTCTGAAGGAACCTGGCTGGCTTCGCTGTCAGTGAGATGCTTTCCACCTGACGTTGCAGTAATCCACTACTGTTGATAATTAGACATCATTACTGCTGTGGAAAGGGAAAGAGAAAGGGGAGAGGACAGGCCTGGGCTAATTAACTACTTTAGTTTAGTGAAAGGGAGACAGATAGCAACAGGGAACATATGTATACAAGAACAGAATAGACACACTACGTAGACTTAATTGCAACCAGACTGTCAATCTCATAGTTAACAAAGCTGGGTTCTTCCTCTTATTTTCTTGAAAGACTAGATGCAATA